TCCGTAAATTATTCCGGATGAGCTGCATACTGATTTACAAAGTAAGACATCAGTAGTGTTGCTTGCATTAGGTCACGACATTGGAATGAGCGGCCAGCATCGTCTGTAGATGTATCTTGAGTGATCTGCATGACACAGGCCTATATTATTCAAGGATTGGCTGCTCTCCGTTTGACACTCGTCAATGCCACGTGACGTCATAGCTAGCAATAGTTCATTAAGTTGGTGCGATGAAGCAGAGGCTTGTGTTCACTTTGGAATTGCCCTTTAACTGAGCACCTTAATACCAACCCCTTTCAACCCCACCACTGTGTTGCCCGCGTTCATCTTAATAGCCATAAACCATGAGGGCCCGCAGCAAACAAAAATGCCCGGCAGAGGCTGAGAAGATGCGTGTCCTTGTGGCGTACAAGGAATACAAAGACTGGAAACTTGTTGTCAAGGACAATGGTGTAGCCATGACTACGGTACGCCGCGTAGTCAACAAGGGGCACGTCAACAAGAAACTGAGTGGTGGGGCACGCATGGGACGGTCGAAAGTCATTCCTGCGATCCGCGATGCCTTGGAGCGCAATGTAAACGACAACTGTTCCTACACGTTCACCGCCATGAAAAAATTCATTGCCAAGGACTTCCCTGGTGTTGAACTTTCCTTACAAACGATCAGTCGGCACCTGCTCGGAATGCTGTACACAACTAAAACTTTGCGCATCGAGCCCGCGACATGCAACAACGATGTGAACAAGACAAAACCAAAGGCATTCGTGGAGACCCTACTGACGCATCAGCAAGACGGAGACTACATTGTTTACTACGACGAGACAAATTTCAACATTTACTGCCATCGTACCCTTGGACGTGCCAAGAAAGTCCAGCGAGCGACGTTGGTGCCCCCTCCGTCAAAAGGCCCTAACCTCCAGGTTCAATGTGCTGTGTCTGCCGAGCACGGTCTTGTTTGCCATCGACTGGAGCGGGGTAGCATCAAGATGGCGCAGAATGCTGCATTCGTTGAAGAAATCTATCAAGCCATGAAGTGCTACATGGAACGCCAACTTTGAAGGCAAGAGGGTGATAATTATACATGACAATGCACCTGCACACTCACAAACGGAACAGCGTGTTCAGCCGCACCATGACTTGGTTCTTCTGCGTCTTGGGCTGTACTCTCCAATGTTGAACCCTCTTGAAAGTTGTTTCAGTGTTTTGAAGGCTCACATCAAGCGTTTTCTTGCCGCCCGCACCAACCTGCTGTTTTACCGTAGGGAGTACTATACTTTCTTGGAGAGTCGCATGCGATTCCGTGCATTACCCAGTCATTGGTTATCCGGGAAGCTATGTTCTGTCAGCGCAATGTCGAGAAGGCGCTTTGGTTCAAGGATATGTCCTACGGAATGTGATGTAGACCACATTGATGGAATAAAACCACATTGCAATGGAAATGTGCAGTTTTTATGTAGCCATCCGTTGTGTTTTAAACGTTTTATATTTTTTATTGCCACATTGATTGGAATAAAGTGGCACTTTGATCGGGAAAAGGTGTAGTACTGTACCTCCGATTGGAAATTATTGAAAGGTTTCACTTTTTGGGCTTTGAACAATTGTATCTCAGTCAAAATAGGTTATTGCCTTGACAATAGGAATACTTCCATGTAGAGAATTTCACTAGAAATCCGATTTTACTGACCTATAAAGTGTAAAATATTGTCTTCTTCAGTGAAATTTGGACTTGCCAGCTGATTCGAGATTCGATTTGACTGTGAGTCAGATTTGAATCTTTTGCAATGTACTACAGTATGATATCCACATTTGAAGAGATGAACATTTTGACTTGGCCAAACTACTAATCGATGACTAATCGATGATTAGTTGAAATTTCACATTGCTGAAGTTTGATTGGCTAGCACATTCACAAATACACTTGTCAAAGTCATCCTATTCTACTCGGAAGTCCAAATAATAGGACTGGAGTTGACAATAACAGTGTAAAGGTCAGAAGTATGTGGGACGGCAAATCCTTAGGCCACACATCGCAACCATTGGTTGGAATTTAGGAATGAAGTAACTTCATTGGTTCGTCGATTGCCATTCACGTTGGACTTATTTGCATCATATTAAACTTGAACAACGTCTTGTAGGTGCCCCGCCAGGAGCATATGCATGTAAATTTGCCGAAACGTGTCACATGAGAGGTCGTAGATGTGCTGGATGTGGGTCTTGGCCTGCCGTCGGAACGCGGCTTCATCCTGGGGATGCATATGCTTTGGCATGTCAAAATCGTTGGCTTCCACGCTCAACGGGGACAGCGTCCCGTCTCGAACAAACGTTTGGCTGTTGATATACAAAGTCCGATACATCCACCGCCCCGCGCTCGCAATATACTCAAAGTCGTACCAAAAAGTGATATATATCACTTTTCATGTCTTCGTGACATACCACAGCATGCGCGTCCGCTGCCGCGACCCGACCATCCAATACGCCTCGTCGTCGTGAATCTGCTGCGCCACCACCACACACCGCGTGGGTGTGCTGAAGTCCCCCACCAGCACATTGAACCACTCGCCTTTGGAGTTGGTCAGTTGGTGCAACGCCGTGGTCTTGGTTTGCTCTTGCACCGTCTACAAATTCGATAACATCAATCAAATGTCCACATTGAATAATGATATCACATCAATCAAGTGTCCACATTGAATAATGACATCACAGAAATCAAATGTCCACATTGAATAATGAAATCACAGAAATCAAGTGTCCACATTGAAAAATAACATCACAGCAATCAAATGTCCACGTTGAATAATTTTATCACATCAATCAAGTGTCCACGTTGAATAATAACATCACATCAATCAAGTGTCATACAGGGTACGTAACAGGAATGTCGCCGTCCGCCATGAGGATGCGGCAAAGGTGGTGTCGATACATGAATCGCATGATCGCATCCGGGGGTGCCGACTCCATTTGCCGCTTCGCGTGGTAGTACATGCACTCGGCATCGTTTGTATGGGACGCCTGGACATCCATTTCGTACATGGCTTGC